GAGTCCTGGCTCCCTGACCGATGAGCTACCCGGTTTGGGGGTTTGGGACAAATGCGGCATGTTCGGGAAGGTAGAGCACTCATCTGATCAGGTTGTTGGGAGAACTCAGGGAGGTCCTGTGTGGTGTGCATCACGAGGTGCTCAGCACAGTCTCCGATCAGGGAACAGTTCTCCCAGCCACCTGCCCCATCTCTTCCTTTTTTGAGAAGGATTTCTAGGCTGGGGGACTCAAGGCCCGCCTGTGTGAACACTCACTGGGTACAGTAGCTGGTGACTGGCTGGTTCCGCAATGGCTCTGGGTATCCCCATCACATCAACGGTACCACTTTTATTTTTGGAGACTATGAAAACCATCAGGTCGATTTCTATTGCGATCTTAAAGATAATCTCCCTTAACCATACCTAACCCCAAGCAATTTTACTGTGTGGTGGAAAATCTTCAGTGTGAGAGGTCTCAAATGAGCGAATGAACACAAGATGAATGAGCCCGTGAATGCAAACATAAAACGTTAAATGGATGTTAAAGACCAAGGGAGGGCCATTTTCACATCATAACGCCAGCATTGCCCTGGAACCCAGCCCTTGGATTAGATGCTTTCCAAAATTTGCACTGCTCTTCCCTCTTCCTTCCTAATGTCCATATCCCCCAAAGCAGCCTTGCTGATACAAGAAGCCAAGAGCAAAGACCGGTGAAATCAGCAGGTGCCCCCACTGTGTGCCAGCAATTTTGGAGCTGATAAAGTCATTAAGGAAAATTTTAACAATGTATAACCTTTCAGCTTTACTCTGCTAACAGCAGGTAGCCTCCCTTGCAGAGACGTGCGCCTGCACTGAAGTAACCAGTGAGCAGGACTTGACCTTCATTTTCAGTATGCGCAATATTAAATATTCATAATCCACGTAACTGTAGCATAAGAAGTAGCTGAGTTTAAACACGAATCAAAGGAATAAATATCTCCCCACAGGTGAGTCATCCTTTCCAAGAATGCCCCTGGAAAAAAATGCAAATATCCAGGGCCTGGAACCCCTGTCTCTTCCAACTTTCTCTTGAAATTCTAGAAGCAGCAGGAATTGCTGCATTATGCAATACATGAATCCTGCCCTCACACTGACATCGTTGGTTTTTTTATTTATTTTTTTCTTCTCTATTAGAGAAGAATTACTGTACCTATGTCAAAGAGAGGAAACAGACAGGGATGGAACCAGCCATGGTGACATTATCACCCACAGGGTGTCTGGGGTGCTTTTGACTCGGTTGTACAATTTTTTAAAAGTCTTTGCTTCACGGAGTATTCAGAGTGTGTGGGAGGAAAGGGTCAGCGGAGATCAAGAGACATCAGAATTAGGAGCTGGAGTGGCATATGCCTTAAATTGGACAGAACACCTTTAAAAAGAATGAGAAAGAAGAGTTCTTTTGGGCAGTACCTGCCTTGTGTGGCTAATTTAATATCTTCTGAGGGATAGGATTATTGTGTTTGGAGGGCTTAAATCTTCTCCGTGTCTGGAAGGAACTGACACTTGTGCCTATCCAAAGTCTTGGTAGAAGAGCTCCTCTGCTTGGCTGCTTCTAGAGAGTCTACCGCTGGGATGATGAAGCATAATTTTAACACAGTTTAACGTAATTCTCTTTGGCTTTCAACTCCAGGAGCTCAGAGCCACAATCTGTCTTAGCTAGATAGCAATCACTTGAGGCTGCACAAGTGATTCTTCTGTGGTGATCACTCCAGGAAAATTAAGACCCAAAGAAGCTCTCCTCAAATCCTTGAATGAAAAAAAAGAGCCGCTCCGGGACCTATCTTGGCCTAACGATGGGAAAGGAAAGATGCTTAGGGGAGGCTGTCTTTGGAAATGACTTACCCACTACCTCTTGAGAGTAAACTAAGTTCTGAAAGGTTAACAAGATCAGAGAGCCACCAATTATGACATTTATCTGGACTGCCTTCCCCACCTGCTGCCACATGAAAGCGGAATGACCAGCCACCCCACCTGCCAGCCCATTCACACAACCCCAATAGGCCTGTCTGACACTGAGCCGGCAGGGCGGACCACCAGAGCCTGTTTTGTATATTAATCTGCCTTCCTTGCCCTCTTCAAGGGGCTGGGTGCAGAGATCGCCATATCTTGAACTTGTGCTGCTAGAACATTCCTCACCATTTTGGGGAGGCCAGCTCTGATTGAAATTCATGGAGATGAGCCACTTCACGACAATGTCCGCCCAACTAGGCTCATGCGAGGGAAAACCTAGGGATTTGTTTATTTGATTGATATATTTGAAGGGCTAAATGCTAACAGAAATTTGTCTGAAGAATACGAGGTTTTTCCAGGGTGGTAATATAGGATAACTTCCCAAGAGAAGTTTAAGGCCCTCTTTCCAAGCCCCCCACATAGCCAGCCAAACCACCAGTGTATATAAATCAATGAGAATTTCGGATGAAAAGATGAATTTTAAGAATTTATATTCAGCTTTCTTACACATTTTCCATTTGCTTCTTATATGTGGATAGAACTTTATTTTCTCTTAGTCTGCTTGATTACAATGTCTAATAGGTTTTTTGTTTGTTTTGTTTTGTTTTTGTTTTTGTTTTTGTTTTTTTATTCCTGGGAATCTGTGGACTTGCCATAAAGGTTACTTTACAGATTGTACTTCTGCCCCTTACTTCATGTGTGCATGCTTTGCAGGCTTTCCCCAGGAAGATGGAAGACTCCTGGGTTATTGGCTGCGCCGATCAGGTCACCCAAAGGACAGAACCTTGGGAGATGGCTATAACCAAACATACTAATGCAAATGAGAACCGGAAGGGCTGACATAAATAAACATCAAGTCTTCTTATAAATCAAGTCTCGTTATGCCAAACCACACAGGTCAGTGACACAGAAGAAAGACTGAGGTTAGGGCAGTCCCCAGGGAAAATGGGGACAAGTTTGGCTCTAAGATTATTGGCATTTTTGCTGAAAAATTGCAGAATAGGACTAAACTGTCCATCTTTGGAATAGACTCTTTGTAAGTCCATTAAAGAAAACGGAACCAGAAAAGGGTCCCAATGCTGGCTTTCCCAAGACTGAGCAAAATCATAACTAAATCCGAAGGACCGTGGGGTGGCGCAGGGCATCCAGAGTAGTGGCCCTTTGCTTTGGGGAATTCGATTCCTTTCCATTCTCCTATATGGAGCTGTGAACACCAAAATCTACCGAACAAAAGTCTGCCTCTCAGTAGACACTGTAAAAAAGGACACAATTCAAATCCATCTAACAAGAGCATTTTATTTCTGAGAAATACAGAGGAGCAGAAAGGGAGGGGAAGGGTAAGAAGGTGCCGAGGCATCTCTCCTAACCGATCACCACACTCACCTCCATGTGAGGGTTTGCTCTGTCTGGGGCACACATACTACATGCCCAAACCCATTTCCTGAGCCTGGCATGGAAGTTGACAGGATATGCACCCCCTGACATGTTAGAACACTCCTCACTCCTGGGAAGAGAATGGAGAAATAAGACCAGGGCTTTAGAAGATCTTTAGTTCAATCCAAATATGGTCCAGAATCATTAAGAGAAGATATTTAAAAGAAGCTTACCTTCAATGACATACCAGTTGGAGATGTCCAGGCTTAAACATCTCTTCTCTTTCTTGGCCAGGAAGAGCTAATGGAGGAGGCGTGTAGAATCTTGTGTCCTGGAGGACTTTGAAAGGACTCTCCACCTGAGGCAGGTGAGGGCAGTCCAGCCTTGTGCATGGGGACGGGCTGAAGGACCTCTGATACTCTTAGACTTGGCTGATTCCCAGAGGCAAGTGATTAAAGGGATGTTTGCTTTATTTTCCCTGACATGGCATTTTGGCCTCAGCACCCAATTGCACAAAATCCTTTGGCTGGTGACCAGATGCCTCTGAGAAATTCAGAATTTAGGCGTGCATGAAATTACTACCATCCCGAGTCATAGAAAAAGAGCACTAAGCTCAGGACTCAGGCACACCAGGGTTCGTGCCAACAAGGACACAAAGCAGGTTCCTGGAATCAAACTGTAGTGAACAGTCATACCAAGGATAGAGTTCAGAGAGACAAAAACACTCTCACAGTGGACAACACAGGCAAAGAGTTCAAGGTCACTGCCCAGTTGTCAAGTTCACGGTCACCACAGAAAGGCACGTCAGACCAGCTTGGCTCCAGCTTCTCAGCCCCAAGCTTGCAACAGAATCCTTGGAACAAATAAGGTACCCCGGGGTGACACCTGCTGGAACCAGGGCAGAGCTGGCCACTGCCTAGCAGCTCTGCTCGGTGACCTCTTTTGACCCCTATGAAGCCTTAAACTCTGTCCTCAAGAACCACCCCCACCTCCACCTCAGGTTCAGCCCAGAGTACCAGTTCACTCAGCTGGTACCCCAGGGCTCCACACAAATGTCCACTCTAGGAAATGTTAGATGGCCATGGGCCTTGACCTCTGGGAGTCATAAAGAACTCCTTCCTTCCATCTGTTACCTTCACAAGTCAAGAAGCACCAACGAGCAATGCTTCCACTGAATATTCTGCTTGATAGCTGCAAAGGACAGAGCCATGCTTCCTAATCTGATCCCTAACAAGATTAAAGCATGAGAAACCCTAATGAGAAGAGGACCTTACAACCATGGCAAGAATGGCTTGGACCCTCATTGCTGGATACCTGTAACCCTCCCAGCGGTTGGACATTCCTACCAAAGCCCTCCTAGCTTCTTGACATCTTTAGTGCAAATATTTCAACAGGAAACAGGTATTTGAAAACAAATTAGACCCAGCAAAAAGGCTTATCCTCAGATACCTCTCCCTCTTACACCAGCAGAATCCGAGTAACCTTCCTGTGACAGCTTGTTTTCCCATTCAGAAAACCAGCAGAGTAGCTTTGCCTTCCTCTGACAGCCTTCCACCCTCAAAAGACTTGCAAATTTTGGTGTTAAAATAAATCAACTCATCGACGCAGAGGCTCATGATTGTTTTAGAAAAGAGGGCAAGGCAACGTATTTGAATACTCACTTTGATGAATCTATGAAGTATATTACAAGGGCACCAATGCTGAGAGCAAAGACTAAGACAACCTGCAAAAGAAGAAGAAAATGCCATCACTTAAAGCCAACACCAGGAAGCTTCGTTTTGGGGGGCTTTGTCGGGGGTGGTGGTGGACACAAGTGGAGAAGCAGATTTCCAACTGCTTTCTGGGGCCCTCTTGGGAATCTCAAGCCCTGGAGGCCCCACGGGACGCCCTGATGCTGCCTCCACACCTTGCAGCGGGCAGCAACCTCTGTGCTGGCCAACAGGGGTCAGGGCAGACTCTTGTTTCTATGGTGCCGGGTCCCATCTTGCCCTGTTAGCAACAGGGTCCAGCTTCTCCGCAAATGAAGTCCGCACACTTCCAGTGAAGAAAGAGCAGGTAAGAATTCAGGGCGATACAACTGGTCGTTTTATGGGTATCCTGGACCCAGAAGAACTCAGACATGGGAATATCAATTTTTCCAAGTTCTGACAAGGATTTACAGACCACAAAGTTGACCCATTTTAAGTGCACAATTCGGTGACTTCAAGTAAACTGACCAAGGGGTACAGCCATCACTGCAATGAAATGGCTTCGACCATTTTCATCAATCCCAGGAAGACCCCTCACACCCAGGAACAAGCTAAGCCCGCTCCCGCCCCCAGCCCTATGCAACCCCTGATTGACTGCTGGTCTCCAGACAAGAACCATCAATTTGAAAAGCACAAATTTGCTGCTTGTACAAATTGTGTGTGTGTGTGTGTGTGTGTGTGTGTGTGTGTGCACATCCACGAGCGTGTAGTTACAACACTTCTCAAGTATTCTGGAAACGGGTTAGGTGCAGGGAGCCAAAGCCGCTAATACATTAGGCCAGCTACACGAGACTTGTTCAACTTTACACTCTTCACTCAGAATTAATTGCCTCTGATTTAAAAGTCTGGCATCTCCTCCAAAGGATACCTGTCACACTGATGTCCATCTGAAGCGTATGCGGCAGCTGACGCCGCCACCAACACTTCTGTCCCTGCTCTATGTTCTGGTTTGTTCATTTAGTCTTTCACAGAGGAGATCAGTAGGGCAACTAAACGGATGCTCAGAAATGAGCAAGACGCGCAGAGCCAACAATTAAGATTGAAAACAGAAAGCAAACACTACCGCTGCACGCTGTGCCAACAAATACCTTTCCGACACACTAATATCCTAAAAGGACCATGCAGAAAGTAGTGTCAGTCTCTTCTCAGAGTATCTGCATATTGACATCCCTCTGGCATCGGCTGGTGGATAGAGATGAATCCCAATTTATGTAACGACTGCGCACAGCCAAGCTGTGTGTGTGTGTGTGTGTGTGTGTGAGAGAGAGAGAGAGAGAGAGAGAGAGAGAGTCGAGGGGATCACACACGCATATCTGTACTGTGTGTGTGCATCAAACTGGCAGATAGGAAATGCAATCTGCCTACTGTACTCATTGAAAACATTGCAGAACCCCACGGAGCTACCGGGACAGACAGCAGACCACACAGTAAACACTGACAAACAGCAGGACACTGAGGAAGAAAGACGCAGCCTCATAGCCCCTGACAAATCATCCTGATGAAAGAAAGTGGTAAAACAGTACATCACTGGGGCTTATTTTATTCTTCCATTTTGTCTCAAAAACTAAACCGTGCTGCAGCTGAATCCAAGGTAACCCTGCAGTCTGCTGGCAAATCACCATCTATCCGGTGCTAATCCTCCTGGCAGGCTCACCCCAGGCTCTCCCCTCACGCTCATTCACTCCTTCATCCCTTTGCAAAGTCATACACACAAAAAAACACAAACAAAAATATAAACAAGCCTCTTCCCTCTATTATCTGAAGGAGGCAGCAAAACAAATAGCTTAAGATTAATTTTGATCTGTGTTGCTATTTACGAGACATAAGCACTGAAATCCTGGCCCCAACCTCATTCTCAAAATGCTGCAAAGAGAAGGGGCGTGGCCAGGGCACAGGGGAAGGACCTCTTCTTCATTCATAAACAGCTGACCCAAGACTAATCTCTGTCAGCTGGGCTCTGGGTGTGTGTGTGTGTGTGTGTGTGTGTGTGTGTGTGTGTGTGTGTGTGTAAGGATGCTGAGCTTTGGTCAGAGCTGACTCTACAGGCCAATGAGGGGATGGGAAGGGAGGGCAGGGATGCAGGGGAGAGGGGAAGAAAGAGGATAGAAGCCCTTGCAAATGGCATCACCATCATTATGAAATGAGCTCAAAATCTAAGCTCTCTTGCAATGGTGAGGATTTCCCAGCACTGGGGGGCCAGATGAAGTAGCTGACACTAATTTGTCCCAGCTGCCTTCGCTTGGCCTCTCTGACAGGGAATAATGTGCAGCTTATTTAAGCAAATCAGCCAGTGACAGGAGGGGAGGACTCCTGCTAGCTTCTTAAGATGCAAACTCAAGTATCAGCATCTCTCTGATAGGATGAGGGAGGGAAGAAATTCAGGAGGGAAATGACCTCCAAGAACTGAAGACCTTGGTGAGAGAACCGATTCTTGGGTCCACATGTTCATCTGGAAGGCTGTCTCTTGAGGAGGTACAGGGCATCCAAACTGATCCACCCCCCACACCCCCCACCTCAAGGACTGAAATGATCAGTGAGGAAGGGACCAGCTTCTCAAAATTAAGGCAACTGGGCATGTGGTTTTTAAACATGCTAAATGGCTCTTTATCATGTCGGGCTTGATTACATTGTCAACCTGGATCCAAGTGCTGCAGAAAATGAATCAACCCCTTGGATTAGGCCGTGGAAATAGGAATCCAACAAAGATTCATCTTCTATAGGCCCTGACAAAGGATTAGCACTCTCTCTCTTCATCTCTTATCGCTCTCTCTGATAAGCCCCCCCATTGTCTGAGAACTCTGCTCTACATATGAAAAAATTCAGTCCAGCTACACAGAACAGTCGGATTTTTAGCTTAAATGCTAACGGTTATGTTACAGAGCACCCCCAAATAATTATCTAAGTATTTATTTCATGATATCTGCTATACTTAAGGCCCTAGGAAAAATAACAAAAGTCCACTTGAAGTCACGAAATAAATTTCTTTGTGGAATAATCCTTACATAGTAATCCATGTCATGTTATACTACTACGCAACTAGCACTCAATGGTATGGCGCAGGTATAGTCATTCTGTACTAAGGTACTAACTAGGTCAAGATATGAATGGGAAAAGAGGTTGAGATGGGCAGGAACAATATGTTCTTTCTTCTCAAAGTGTCCCTTCTTCCTACCTGTAATGGCTTCTAGAACATCCCTTCAGTAAGGGGGAAGTCTGCTGGGAGTTCTTTTATGTGCCTCGAAAGTCCCAGAGATAAAAGGCACTCTAGCCAAGGGACATGTTAAGATGAGGCCAAGAAAAGCATAATAATATACCTGAGACACAGAAACACTAGCCCTCCAGCAGCTGAGTCACAGAAGGCTCCCTACAATAACCAAGCTCTTTACAAAGCACCGTCACAAACAAGACCTGGTACACACAGTCTGCCATGTGGGACGAGATGAGCATTCCCTCTTGGGGCACACACTGTGCTGACCTCCACCAGCACCTTTCTAGCTTTTCACAGGCTGGGAGGTAGGGTCACCAAATCACCATGGGATGGCTACCTGGGATGGCGCTAACTGCCATAGTCTTAGGTTGATTGAAAATACCCATATGCTACACAGTGATACCAGGTACTGAGTGATATTTACAGAGTGCCAGATATCTAACAAAAGTGATTTGATAAATGTCATTGAAACAATGGTACTCTTGAGTTATCTGTTCCCAGAAATGCAAGATCAAACACGACATGTGTTTGCACAGAAGAATGCCAGGAACACAGACACAGACACACAGAGATACACAGTGCATCCCCAACACCACCCCCACCCCCTCCCCCCCCCCAAATTCCATACTAATCTTCCTAACATTCTAAATCTCTGAGAAAGACACCGAACTAACCTGACGCACAACCATCCTCATCCTCACACCACTCATAAACTCCTAAACTACCCCCTTTTATATTAATACTAATTACTTAAACCAACTACTTACATTTCAATTATCTCAATCTCCCATTTATTTAATTTTTCTTTTTCTCAAAAATACAATAAACCCACAAAACACCCCCCCCCCCACCCCCACCCACCCCCCCCAAACCACCAAAAACAAAAAAACTCTCACACAATCCCAATACCCCACCACCACACACCCAACCACACAAACCAACCAACCCCACACACACCCACCACACAAACCCCCCCCCCCCCCCCCCCCCCCCCCCCCCCCCCCCCCCCCCCCCCCCCCCCCCCCCCCCCCCCCCCCACCCCCCCCCCCCCCCCCCCCCCACCCCCCCCCCCACCCCCCCCCCCCCCCCCCCCCCCCCCCCCCCCCCCCCCCCCCCCCACACCCCCAAACACACACAAAACAACAACACCCCAATATAATATAATATAACCCACCCCAAACACCCATAATCCACCCCCCCCCCCCCCCCCCCCCCCCCACCCTTCCCCCCCCCCCCCCCCCTATCCTTGGAGATGGGCTCTTAGACACACTGTCTGTTCTAGAAACTGGTTTCAAGTTGTTGAATTTGGCCCAAGCGCTTTCAATAGACACAAGTCATGAGTCTATGAGGGCCTCCAGACACTGATTGGAGTAGAGGCTCATAAAGGCAGCTACCACCACCAACTCATCACTTGAGCAGCATTTGTTAAAAATCAGAGATGCCCTCATCCCAACCTGGAACCAGAGAATGGCAAGCTGAGGTGATGGGGAAGCTGGGCACCTCTATTTTTCAGAAGCTCCTCCAGTGAATCTGATATATAGCCAAGAATGGGAGTCACTGAATTAAAGCCATTAGGGGAAACCACTTAGCTCAAGTCAGAGATTAATTTACAAATGTCGCCTTAACAATTAGCCCATTAGAACATATGTATGAGGTCTGCAGGCTTTGAGAATCGTGCTAGAAGTAAAGTACAGAGAGGAGGATGAATTAATTCTCTCCTGAGCAGGTTTTATACATTCTGCTCAGCTCACAGCAGAACAAATGACC